GAGAGAGAGAGAGAGAGAGAGAGAGAGAGAGAGAGAGAGAGAGAGAGAGAGAGAGAGAGAGAGAGAGAGAGAGATTTACGACATTGGGATTTGACGACATTTGGATTCAGACTCTACATTGGGGCAGAGACATTGTGGGGGACTATTTTGGGTCGGTATGATGACATTCCCATCTCCTCCCCCCTTCGTCTCCCCTCCCTCCTCTTCATCTGTGTATGATATGTGCCTGGAGCCCTTCGTCTCTGTGTTCGGCACCAGGCTACTCACACCGTGTGATGATGATGATGATGATGTTCAGTCTGGGTCACGACATTTATGGGTCTGATTGTTGGTATTTCAGTCTTTCTGCATGGGTCCTGAAGACCATCTCACGCAAGTGTGTACATGTCACGCATCATCCTTGCACACAATGATCAAGAGTCTCACACATTAGACAAAGATAGATGAGAAGAGAACCGAGTTGCACAACTTATATTCTCAAAAATATGATTACAAAGAGTTTCATAGTTTCCCAAGTCCAGCGCTCATCAACATAATGCAGATCCTGCATTGACTCATCAATGCGACTTCAATACATCAGCGCTACTTCTGCAGATTATACCCTGGTGATCTATGTGGTCACCACTCATCAGCGCCACCTCTGCAGTTCAAATCCAACTCAGGTAAGTATCCTTCATAGCCAAACTTTGATTGAACACTCTCTATCTCAGTCCCTTTCTCCTATGATGTATACACACTCTGCACTCACAAGGATCTACTCTGAATGCTACTCATAGCTATCTACTACTAACCCTCTAATTCTATACAAACTGGCTGGGCAGCTATGGCTGCATCCCTTCCAGCGCACAGTCTTCCTCCTCCTTCCTAGCGCATCTTCCAGCGCTGCTCCTACTGACTGGCGCACAAGTGCTTCAGCACTTCCACGCACAGAATGCCAGTGGAGATCTGGCGAGGAATGAGGCTATAGTGCTGGCCTTTCCTCGCTGGGTCTGCATTTGGCTGCTTCAGGCCTTCCTTTGTCCCATACCCTGCATTGCATGTGTCCCAGTACTGTCCCAATGAAGTTCAACTGCTGCTGAGGCCTCTCGGCCTAGATTTGGACTTGGACGTCTGGATCTGGACTGTCCCTTAGACTTAGACCAGAACTGGGACTCTGTTTATTGATTTACCTTCAAACAGGCACAACTTTGGACGAACAGACACACCTACTGCCTGAATAGACACTCACATTGTGTGAATAGACACTCCCTTTCTGCATGAACAGACACACTGACTGCACGTACAGACACACCTATATCTGAACAGACATGACATGTATATCTCCTGACGAACAGGTATGTCCTTCGGCAATGACCTTTGCGCTTTAGTTTAGGATGTGCCTTTTGATATAGAACTGGACCTTTGACCTGCTTTCACGTTTCTGGGTCCTGGTGAGATACCCCTTCACGATGCTTTACTTTTACAAGGCCTGTATCGGGTAAAGGCCCTTTTATTTCAGTCTTCCGCTGTGCTATCATTGCTCCATTTTGAGAGGTCGGTTCTTGGTTCTGGTCTGCACCATTAAGCATGCAACAGAGCCTCATCAACCCATACGGGGCTGCCTGATATTCACTCTAGCGCTAGCTGAACAAAATTCCCCATACCATTGAAGATCCACCAAGGAGAAAGGGTGTGGGGGAAAGGATTCACTGAGATCTGACAGAGGCCGTAGCTGGACTGAACCATCGATGGCCATCCATTCATCAAAGAGGAGCTTGTAGTCTCTGAAGCCTGGTCCTGGTCGCCGTGGCCCCCCTTCCATTGCGCTTCGCCCATCCAGCCCCCTTCGTCCCCCCCCCCAGCCAATCGTTACAGAATTGCCTTAGAAACAAGTGTGGTCGTGGCACGTTTTCAGTCTGCAAAGGCAAAAAAAAACTGCGCGGGCAAAAAAAGAACGGCCTCCGAACTTAGAAAAGTTCAGCGGCTGTTCTGTGTTTTGCCCGCGTGTGTGTTTTTTCCCATTCGAAACCCTGTTGTGACATAAACGCACTTGCCCCATTGTTTTATTTGTGTCCTCGTATCTGTACTTGTGTGTAAACTCCTTTTAAACCACCAGTACTTCCTAAAGTCGTGCCCGTTAACAAGCCACGATTTTAGGAAATGTACGGGTCACGACAGGAGTGCCCAAATTCATCCGAGTAGAAACGTTTCTACTCTATTCTTTTCCCACGGCCGACAGCTGGGCCAAGTACTGGTGGTTTAAGTCGCGCGTGTTTCCTTTTACAGTTTCCCATTGCGCTTGTATCTCCGTTTGTATGTGCTGTTTGATTATTATGTCTACAAAAACTCCTTACCGTCCAAACAAACGCCATCCGCTTCCAATCTACAGCCTCTGAGCCAGATGGACCAGAAGACCACCTTCCCTCCCAGATCAAACACGTTAAAGGAAAAGGAAGCTGCACACAGGATCGCTCTCCAGTCCCAAGGCCATTGTTGTTCCATGCCCAGTTGGCACCAGATATGGTCCCACCATCTCCACAGCCAGACTGAGCTTGGGCACTGCATGAAGATGTGTTCTATCCATACTTGCAAGCAGATGGACCGGACGAGCGTCCGGTCCGGTCCGCTTTGCCGCGTGCGGCACCCTCCCCCCGGACCAGACGGACCCGGACCTGACTGGACGGGGCCATTCCTTTTTTTTTTGGGGGGGGGGGGGGGGCGTAACTGGTCGTTGGGCGCACATTCGTGCGCCGCGCGGGTTCGGTCCGGCGGTCCTCCGCACATGCGGAACGGCCCGGACGGCGTCCGCTTGCAAGTAAGGTTCTATCATCTATGGTCTCCAGTTCTCACTTGGCCAGATATGGTTCTGTGCCCAGCTGGCACCAGATATGGTCCCACCATCTCCCAGTCCCAAGCCTCAGGGTTGCACCATGGCAGGGCCAGTCCACGCTGCTCCAGAGATGTCCTGTCAATTAGTCAGCCAATCATTGGTTGGGAGACAGACATGGTCTATTTCCCGCTGCTGCGAGGCCACTTTGGCCAGTTTAGCTAGAAAATTCTGGCAAACCATTTGCTTGGTCTTAGGGGGTCCCTTCGTATTTTGAGGTGTCGCGTCACATCTGTGCATCCCTTCTTCTTTCAGGTCCATCCGGGAGCACATCATTCTGTACATTGATTTGACCCTGCATTGTGTGTACGTGGAGAGTGACCGCTTTGCCTCTGCAGCAGGAGGGGTTCCAGACCCACATTTCTGGGTCTAAGGGAAGCCTCTCCTGGGGAGTCTCTGAACTGTTCGTGGTCCACAAGCACCCTAATCCTGAAGACCTGGGGCCTGTGCAGCCACTGGATCCCACCCGGGGTGGACCTAATAAGTCTCTAGGTGTTCTGTTTTAGGACGATATCAACCATCGACGGTCAAAATTGTTCTTCTTTTTTTGAATACTTTCTCGCAGAAAAACCAGTTTGGTAGTTAATAATTAATTTATGCGTTCGAACTTCAATGTCTGTACAGATCGGCCGTTAATGGTCAAGCCATCACCAGATTCACCGCACCTGCCAGGTGTCCGAAAACTTTTCACTACTGTTTTTTTCGCATTTACCCGTGTTAATGGCAACTGCAGGGTTTCGAACTGGTGACCTCAGCCATAACCGGCCAGGTGGTGGTTATGGCAGTGATCTGCAACTCACACACCTCAGTTGTCTTTACTGTGGAAAGGACAGCTGCAACACGCGGTATATCGGTCTTTGGGCCTCGCTCCACCAGTCACCAAGCTCGATTTACCGCAGTGAGTTCTCACCACAAAAGGTGGTCGTCACTCCTCCACTCATCACACCTGAACACTCACCACAAGGGTGAGTGCTATGAGACAAGGTCGGGGCCGGCTGGAATCCACTGGGGCGGTAAGTTACTGAACACTTTTGGTGGGCGGCGGAGAGGAGGCACCACAACTCCACCGTTGCACGCGGGGAACGAGGGAAGGATGGCGAGTACTCGCCAAGGCCGAGTCACCACGAAAGAAAAACTTACAAGACAAAGTCGGGGGGCGGCTGGAATCCACCAGGAGAGTGAGTTGCTCAACACTTCTGGTAGGTGGCGTAGAGGAGGCACTACAACCCCACCGTTGCATGCGCGGAACGAGAGAAGTATGGTGAGTACTCACCACGGCCGAGTCACCACGAAAGAAAGAAAAACTTACAAGACAAAGTCGGGGCCCGGCTGGAATCCACCAGGACAGTGAGTTACTCAACACTTTTGGTGGGTGGCGAGAGGAGGCACTACAACCCCACCGTTGCACGCGCGGAACGAGGGAAGTATGGTGAGTACTCACCACGGCCGAGTCACCACGAAAGAAAGAAAAACTTACTTCTAAGTTTTCTAACTCAAAGGCTACTGTGGTAAGTGGTGGAGCTACAAGACTACTCACCAAAAGGTTACTGTGGTAAGTGGTGTAGCTACAAGACTACTCACCAAAAAGTTACTGTGGTAAGTGGTGGAGCTACAAGACTACTCACCAAAAGGCTACTGTGGTAAGTGGTGGAGCTACAAGACTACGCACCAAAAGGCTACTGTGGTAAGCGGTGGAGCGAGGCCCTTTACCACGGTAAAGACATAATGCAACACACATCTGTGCTGACCATCTGCAACACATGTATCCATTTTTACCGCGGTAAAGAGACGGAGGTAAGGACATCTGCAACAGAACTGACATTTAGTTAAAATTGACATTTTTTTACTAATTTCACGAAATTGGACACAGTGAAAAAAAAAAATTGTATTTTTGAGTGTTTTTTTGTGCCCACAACATCGGACCATCTGATGTACCTCGATGTAAAGTACCATCAAGATACATCCGAGGGTCCCAAAAAATGGGAAAATTTTTGAGATAGATCTGATGGTCCGGGGTCGCCACGACGCCGGACCATCAATGGTCCGACGTTGTGGGCACAAAAAAATGCTAAAAAAAATTAAAAACTGTTTTTTTTTTTCGAAGTCCGATTTTGTGAAATTAGTAAAAAATCATTTAAAAATGTCAAATTTAAATTTTGACTAAAGTTAACACAGATATCTGTCCTTGATGCGTAAAGACATCTTTAGCACAACTCTCTCTTTACCATGGTAAATAGTAAATACGTCTGCAACAGTCATCACGACTCATCAGCCTTTAGCGCGGTAGGGACACAGGGAGGGGTAAACACAAAATGTTCGCAGCTGGGGTGAGGTCACAACAGCAGTCAGTGTCATCAAACTTTATTTATTTATTTATTTTTTCAAACTACCGTGGAACAGCTGTACTACCCCCCGATTCGCACTCGGCACCACACATGACACTTACGAGATCTTTATATTGTTCTTTTCCTTTCATCGCCTTGGCTGTTGGGAGTTAAGGGGATCCTCTTATCATGACGATGAATGACGAAGGGAAACACAATCAGCTAGATGCGTTATAGCTGACAGGCATTTGTCCGAGGGCAGGAAAGCAAATGCAAAAAAAAAAGATACATGCAAACGATAGACAGAGAAATTGAAGAGAAAGAAATGGAGACTTGAGAAAGTACACACAAGGAACGCCATGGGAGAGAGACACATGTACGCGCAAAGAGGTCCATGGCACTTGGGGAAAAAAACGTCAACGATCGAAGCACCATGCTTGCAAACTCCCTTTTTTTTCCCCCTTTTTCTTGATACTTCACCTGCGTCAACAGCTAAGAGGGATGATAAGAGCATACAGGCCTACCTATCAAGCAAGGGGCAAGTCTACACTTGCTGGAAAGCGGGTCCAGAGTGGTCCCCAAAGATACATCGTAGATCTGGCGACACGTCACCTGCTGAGGAACGGGCCCAGTGTCCCTCACGAAATGCTTGGCTGTGACTCTCAGACTCCTCAAGTGCCTCGTCACCCAGATCAGCATTACATCATTGCAGGCTTGCACTATTCTATAACCCCCCCCCCAAGCCCCATATATCTCGCTTTATTCGCTTTATGAACCTTTCTCATTCACCCCGTTAAGCAGAACTCCCTGAGAGAGCGACACACACACATGTTACATGTATGCGCAAAGAGGTCAATCGCACTTATGAAAAAAATCGTCAATGACAGAAGCCCATGCTAGCAATCTCCCTTATCGATGGCTCTTATAATCCTCTTATCACGGATCGAAGTTAAAAAAAAATTGTCAACTCTCGAAGTCAAAAAAAAAAAACCTCGGCTCTTGAAGTTGAGGCGCGAGTTCGAACCCTTGGTAGCTGCAGTCATCAGCCTCTAAACCTCCTGCAGTACAGTTCGCAGCAGGCGCTGCTCCCTAGCAATAGATTGAAGCCATCAACAAAGCGAAAGGGAAAAAGAACGAACCGCTGACGTACGCCCATGTGCCTGGTTCGTTACACATTTCTAAACACCACAAAGAATAAAGAAATCCCATCTGGGGTTTGGTCAGCCTAACGACTTCCATAACCGTTTCTCTCTCTGTTTGTCTCTGGACAGCTCTGTTCTAAAGTTGATGTATATGGAGTGGATAGCCGCCATGGTGAGCAACAAACACATTCTCTCTCTCTCTCTCTCTCTCTCTCTCTCTCTCTCTCTCTCTCTCT